ACTGCAGTTTCAAAACTCCAGTTTCAAACTTTTACCTATTTTGTTAAGCAAATTTTCAAATTTTGGGAAAATCTCTATGCAACTTATGGACAATAAAGAAGGAAATAAAATAGTAAAAAAATTAGGTCGATATCTCTCACATATTAGAGGTACCTGCGAATTGAATTTTGAGGATTTCGGAGAAAACAAATTTTTGTTAAAATTTTTGGAAAACCAGTTTTATTCTTCACTGTTATCTATTTTATGTAAAATTTTTTCAGATAATACAATTTAAGACTTCAGATAATGTTAACCCAGATAATATTAACTCATACTGCGATTTTTATAAATATTTTTATTTGGGTTTAAAATGAATTTGTTTGATTTTCACACAGAAGGAAAATATTTTCTAACAAACACTTTATTGAAATAAATTTAATTTTCAGTAAATATTTTTACTGATTCAATAAATGTTTTTGTTTGAGTTAAATTTTTATGTCAGCATATGGAATACAACAATAAAACAAGTTTTGAATGCACTAAAATGAATTGATATAATTCTTATTTGGTTTATAACATTTAATGTATAAGTGTTTCTGTACAAAATAATAGTTTCTAGAATGTGAAATAAAATTGTTGTAAGTATATAAGTACTTTTTTCTACAAATTTTAATTTTATAGAATTAGTAAAATTTTTGTTAAAATTCAATATATATTTTTTAACAAAATTTTTATAGATTCAATAAGGAATTTTGTGAATTATTATTGCCAAAATACAATAAATAATTTATCTGTTACAGATAAAATAATTGCTTGAATTTCAGTACAAATACAAATAATTTGCGTTATTGTTTAAGTAAAATAAAAAAAAATAAAAATCGTTAGACATGAACCGGATGACATACGTCCGAAACTATAACTTTAATGGACAATAAAAATATTTGTATGACAATTGATTTTCAAGCAGCCGTGCGGAAAAGTTCACAGAAAAAAATATGAACAATTTTTTTCTTAACAATCGTTTGCTTAAATTTAATTTCGATTTTTATAAATATTTTTATTTGGGTTTATAACGAATTTGTTTGATGTTCACACAGAAGGAAAATATTTTCTAACAAACACTTTATTGAAATAAATTTAACTTTCAGTAAATATTTTTACTGATTCAATAAATGTTTTTGTTTGAGTTTTATTTTTATGTCAGCATATGGAATACAACAATAAAACCAGTTTTGGAATGTACTAAAATGAATTGATATAATTCTTATTTGGTTTATAACATTTAATGTATAATAGTTTCTAGAATTAGAAACGTTTTCTTAAAAATGTTGTAAGTATATATGTAATTTTTTTTACTACTTTTAGTTTTAAATATTTCTTGTAAAATTTTTGTTAAAATTTAGTATATATTTTTTAACAAAATTTTTATAGATTCAATAAAAAATTTTGCTTATTATTATTGCCAAAATACAATAAATAATTTAACTGTTTCAGATAACATATTTGTTTGAATTTCAGTACAAATACTAATAACTTGTGTTATTGTTTCAGTAAAATAATTGTTTGGAAATGTTGCGATTATTTATTAATGTTTTTCGTAAATAGTATATTATTTTAATAAGAAAAATCCTGAAATTTTTTCAATAAAGAATTTACGAATTTGAGTACTTGATTATACGAATTTCGTGATAGGTCCTATTTTAGTAAAAAAAATACTTGGATTTATGAATTTTTTGTTTGATTTTGAATTCAATTTTTTTCTGTGTTGAATAATATTCAACTTTACTCCGTCGCTCATCATTACGTCTGTTCGCAACTCGATAATTTGTAACAATTGTTACTGGATTCCGTTCGCATACTTTTAAAAACTTTCAATGAGAGAGTAAGAGAGCGATGAAAATGACAGTTCGTTGATAGAGAATTTTTTAATTTTACTGGATATATTTTCCCCAGTAAAAAATATCAAACATATGTTCACAACATATGATTGATTAATGAATATGTAAACAAGCCAAAGAAAACAAAAATTTGGTAAATTTCACATTTGTTGAAAGAAATATAAAAATTAATAATAACCGAATATTAAAATATTATTTGTAATTAGATTTATTTTAATTTTATTTATCATAAATTAGTTTTTAAAAGAGTTTGTTTGTTGTGAAAAATCATAACAACTATTGTCAATCTAGCGTTTTTAAAACCATTTAGTGTGTCTTTCTTTTAGCTATTTTGTGTAAATCTTTATTTTAATAATATGTTTGTTTGTTTGTAACATGAAGTTTAAAAAAAGTAATATATTTTTAATGATATTACGTGTTTTGTTAACTTTAAATATCCTCTTTAAATATCATATTTTCAATTCTTTGTTTTTTGGAGTTTTGTTATCGATTGAGTTATCGGCAAAAGGACATTACCAATCTTTGTTTATAAATAAAAATTTTAAATTGTTTTTAAAAATTGGCGTTCGCGTACTTTTTTGGATATTTTTTGATTGAGAGTAAATTAAAAATTACTCTGTATCATAAAGTTATATATTTTACTGGAAAGTACGCGAACACACCTAATATAAAAATTGTGTTTTTCCACACACACACACACAAATCACAATTAAACACAACAAAAAGGAATAACAATAATTTTGACAGTATAGGAATTTGTTCTAATTTACCTACTTCTAGAATGGGTTCATACGGAAGCATTACAGATTCTTGAACAGCAATCTTGGAAATAATGATATCGCCTTTACAACCAGTTTTAAGGAACACAATGTTTCTTAAGTATTTATAATAAGTTCTTTGGCAATAGTTATACCCATTGGAACGTATGAAATCAAAAAAATATAAAATTAATTAACCTAATTTCTTTATATAGAAAAAGATATCACATGAAAATTAATAAAAAACATCCAGTTTCTTTTTATTTGATTAACCGAATAATTTTGAATAATCCGATTATTAACCTGATAAAAACCCGAATAATCTAATCACGCATTTTTTAATTTTCAGTTTTCACATTGTCTATTTTGTAAATAAGTCAATTATATAAAAAATATACATAACATACAAATTTTATTTATTTTAAAGAAAAATTCAAACTTATTTTACTGTGCACGCATATAAATTCAACTTCGAGAAGGCCCCGATATCTTTCAAACACAAATCTTGGATCAATCCATCATAGCTGATGTAGTAATAAATAAATTACTCAGGCCAACAATGAAAAAACTTTTTAAATAATTTTAAGTAACCTTAATATTATTTGGTATGCTGATCCCGAAAAGGGCAATAACAAATTTCCCCCTGACTGTATACTTGTATCTCTCATATTCAATTCTTTCATTTTACAGAAATTACGAATTTTTTTATTGACCGTCTCTGCCTCTAGACTTAAACTATAATTTATATTTTTGAATTTTAATAATGGAAATATATATTCAATTATCGTTCCAATAAGATATAATACAAAAAATCAGACAAAAATTGTAAGAGTTATTACAAATTCCTCAGATAATTTAGTGCCATAAAACACTTAATTGAGAAATATTAAAAAAAACTGAACACATTTTTGGAAATACTTTAATAAAACTATGTCATTACATTAAATATATTCGTATTTTAGGTCGATATCTCCCACAGATTGGCGGGACCTGCGATTTGAGTTTTGAGGATTTCGGAGAAAATAATATGCTACTTATATAAAACCTTTTCAGAATATAAAATTCCAGATAATAAGCAACATACTCAGAAGTTTTAGTAAAATCGAATAATGTTAACCCATAAACTGTGAATGTCAAACTCAAGCTATGCTATATTGGGAAATTTTCTTCAAACCATATTAAAATATTATTCTGTTTTCAACCGGTTTAAATAAAATTTAGGAAAAATACATAATGAGGACCCGAAATTAACTCTTAAACGTAATATGTGAACTAAATATTCAATGCCATTTTGCGGCATTGTGGGTGATAGAGAAAAACAAATACAGATAAAAATACATTAAAATCAGTCGCGTTGGTTTCAAATGTTTTTCCAATTATTTTGTTTTAATTATAGTATCACATGAAAATTAAGCAAATTAAGCATGAAAAGAGCAATCTGAGAAATTTTAGATAGCTAAATGTAAATTGGTACATAGCTTCCGCTTAGCATAATTAGTGGGGGATTAAAAGTCACGGAAAATATAGTGTGCGCTAAGCGACATATTCTGGGTCAAAGGTTACAAAAAATCGAGCTGTAGTGCAATATTTTTCCATTGCACTAATATATCCAAATTTTAATGGAGATTGTACCGATAATAAATATGTCATAATTTATTCGTTACTCATAAGCTGTTAATATAATATATCTCAGAATCGTTCTATGATTCATAGTGTAGTCTGTCTATCAATAATTTCAGATAGTGTCACGTCAAATTTATGATTCGAAAAAAATTGGTGGTCAATACATGCATACATACATTCATACATACATACATACATACATACATACATACATACATACATACATACATACATACATACATACATACATACATACATACATACATACATACATACATACATACATACATACATACATACATACATACATACATACATACATACATACATACATACATACATACATACATACATACATACATACATACATACATACATACATACATACATACATACATACATACATACATACATACGGCAACTTAGAAACATCCCGTTTTAGATCTACTATACGTGTGTAGTTAATAAATATTTGAGATCATTCAATCAATATTCAAAAGTGAAATGATTGCTAACATTTTCATGACAAAATATTTGTTTTATTTTAAAATTTAAAATTTTTCGAAAATCCAATTTATTCACATGTTAAATTAAAATTATTACTAATTAAATTAATTTTTTTATACTTATTATAAAAACAGAACCTGTAATATAATAATTATGATATACTTTTTGTTGTTGTTTTTGTAAATGTTTTAAACTTATACAATATTACCTAGTAATATTTGTTAAACTGTTTTTGTTTTTATTATACATATGTATATATGGAAATACATGCGTGAATATGAGTTTTAGGGTAATTATTTTTTGAAATTTTTGCGAATATTAAAAATACCATAGCATGACCTTGTAGAGCTTGAACATATGTTACGGAATATGATATTATTTTTTTTTTTCGATCGTGAAAAAAGTTCCCGCACTAAAGGCGATGACGTTTTGTATAAATATCACTTTTTTTAAATGTTCAAAAGTAATATTTTGCGTAACAATTTTGCAATTTTTTTCCATTATCTTATAGTGTTAAACAATTTTCAATAAATCGGCATAATATTGCATATTTTAGATAACAGTATAACTTTATATGAAAATTATAAGAAAAAAAATTGTAAAAATATCGAATAAAAGCATTTCAGAAATTGCTTTAGGTGCGGGAAGTTTTTTAACCAAATTGACATATTATCAGGACAGTGTTGGCAAAAAAGTAGTGCTGTGGTATTTTACCGCCCAATAATAGTTATGACCCTAATGAGCATGTTTTTGTTTCGTAGGTATGAGATTGTTTTTGTGTGGGTGTAGGTGTGTGCGGGTTGCGTTTCGGGTTTTGAGAAACCGAGAAAGATGGATAGAGAGTTTTTTTTCTAATAAAAGAAGTTACATTTTGTATCTAAAACCCACAAACCTCTAAATGACGTATGAACGTAGACGAATACTGAAAAAGTTAAAAGATTGCTGCTGACGATGTCGATGAAGGTTGTTTCATCTTGTGATGCTTTTAGGTGTGCAACAATCACTGTTTAATGTTGCAGTTGGAAAGTTAGTCGCAGTCGCTGAGATGATGTTGCTTGCATTGTTTGTGTTATTGTTTTTGGTGGTGATAGTGATGATGGTATTGTTGTCAAAGGTGATTATAGACTTCTTTTTAGTTCTGTTTGATTTGGCGCTACATTACAAACTAACCTGCTGCATTTTATCGAAATCTAAACATGGCCTGTGCGGTCTTTGTAACCGTTGTGAATTGTGTTGCGTGCGCATGGGTCGGCGTCTGGGTGATATTGCACAATGGAAGAGTTTCGCGGGTGGACTAACCGATCTAACCTCAACATCGAGACCAGTCGTGGAGGCAGGACTGCTGCGCGAACTATTAAAGTGAAAATTATGCTTGGCTTGAGGTTGATATATGTGATGACTACTCGTCGAATTGCTCATCTTCATTTTAATAATGCTGCTGGCTGTGCCCTCATCATTTTCGGCGTTTTCCCCCTCGGTGCCCATGATGCAAGAAGTATCACCATTGTTGCCACCGCCAACATTATTTGCTCCACCATTTTCATCATTAACACTATTATCACATAACTTAATATTTTCAATACCGCAACGTGCCTCTTGTAAAATTAGTGGCGTAGTCGAGCGATACATGTGGCTACGATTTGGCTTGAAAGCCTCTAAAGGCGGTGATGTGCGAAAGTTGACAGGCGTCAAAATTGGTTCCAAAAAATTTCGTAACTGTAATCAAAGTTAAATTCAGATTAGCAATTATAAAGTAATAACGAATTTTAACATTTAACATACATCATCATCTGAACTGTGTGCCAGCGAACGTTTGCGATTTTCCACCAATGTTGAACTAGACCTTTTTAAAGCAGCTATTTCACCCTGCAGCTCATCGGGCTCTAGTGACGACGATCCACGTTCTGATATTAGGGATGATGTGCCACGTACCGTCAATACATTGCTGGCAGCAGCTTCTGCAGCTGCCACTGATGAAGGACCATTTATTACCTCTAGTTCTTCTTCAGAACTATGCTGATCGTACTGGAGGTGGGATTTACACATCATCGCAGAAAATTCTGATGAACAAATTTTATCGGTCGGAGAGTTCGCATCGGTGTAGGAACTAAAACCTGAAAAGTAAAACATTCATGGTTTAGTAGAATCATTTAAAAATTACCAAAAAGACGTTTCGGGAAAAACGACTTTAAATGTTTAATTTCGGAACAGTTCAGTAATATTTACTTTATATGTTAAAATTTACTAATTTTATGTAATCCCGAAAAATCCTTGGATCCCAATTTTAAATATGCCGAAATCCGGGATTTGTAAAAGCGAGTCTCGATTGGCATCCCTAACTAAAAATTGTGAAAAGTTGATTTTATCAATCGTAAATATAAATAGTTTTACAAAATTTGATTTGTTGTAGTATATTTTTTACTCATGGAATGAAACATTGACTTTTGGACCCTAACAATCAAAATATTCAATAATATAAAATTTTTGAGTTTTAGTAGTTTTTTCACCAATTTTTTTTTTTTTGTAGGTTTTTTATGAAAAATATAAATTTCGAAAATATAATTCACAATTTATTTCTATACAACACTCAAACATATGGATTTGAATTTATCCCCTATAACTCATTTCTTACGTTATTAATTATGTTATTCCTAAAAACTCCTGGAAGTACTTATGAGAGATAAACCTGACATGAACCGTTGTTAGAATGTTGTGAGGATATAAAATCAATCAGTTTCTTTTCTAAAAAATGATGCACAAAATCAGTAGTTCTAGCCTCAGATATGGTAGATTAAGGAGTTGGAATTTAAAAAAAGAAGTATTACAACATTTCACATAGGGGCACAGGCACATTAAAAAAGGCGATAAATCAACCGTTGGCTTTTAATACAAGTGATTGGTATCAATTAAAAGATAATTTTCTCAAGATTTTAAATATCATAACCCACGATCAAAATTATGCAACATAGGTATAAAATATAAAAAATACCAAAAATATATGTTTTATTTTTTCTTTAATATTGTAAGCCGAATATAATACTATTACTGTTTTCTCGGGAATGATTTTGGTACAAATTTTGTCGAAAACTGCAATTATGTGTTTCATAACTATATAGTAACAAAGTGTTTGGAAATTTTGTCTAATTACGTAAAAGTAAACCATTGATTCTTTGGAACAAATCATTGTATGATATTACATATTAGTTTTAAAAATAGGAAATAAGGAAAAGTTTGGTAGTTTCTGGAACGTTTTGGTAGTTTTTTGTCGGAACTTTGGTAAGAAAAATAAATTGTGAGTGGCAACGCTGTTACAAAGTACTACTTACAATGCATTTACATATATTCTGATTGGAAATCGATCTATCATCGACCATGCTGTTTATAATCACCGCGGTAATTATTTGGAATCTTATTTACAATATTTTCTAAGGAATATTGAGATTAAGATTAAGCTAGAAGTAAAATTGATATACATATTTGGCATATTAGTAACTGATGATATCTACTTTAAAGTATTTATTAGTTTCCAGCAATTTACATACACTGTGGGCATATTATATTGCATATATTTTAATACTATATGCATATGTTACAAATACATACTAATTGGATATACAAGAAGACAAATTTAACTATTCCGGCTTAAGCTTTAATCGAATGTTTGCTGGTGTATATATATATATATATATATATATATATATATATATATATATATATATATATATATATATATATATATATATATATATCTATATATATATATATATATATATATATATATATATATATATATATATATATATATATATATATATATATATATATATTTTGTATTTTAGAGCTTACGCATCAAAATCTATTTCAAAATTCATATAAAACAATGATTGTAACTGAAATTTTACTTAAACAAGTTAAAGCACATCAAAAAAATACATATGTATATTAAAATTCTGTATTGAATAATTTTTACGTTTTTAGCAATTTTTTACCTTCAAACTTTTAAAAATGTAAATAAAATAATTATAATTTTCCTTGCAAGTGAATTGTACATTTTGACACTTGTTACCATTACTACATATGTCTTAAAAATTCGTAAAAATAGGTTTTTACAATAGATTTGTTACATTACTAACATTAAGGGTCTTTAAACAGGCACTATTATTACATTTCAAATAATAGTTTTTTCATCAACTTTGAACTCAGCTCATGCTTATTTTGCCCAAAAATTTTATCAACATAGATCGAAATTATCTTGTAAACTAGATATTGTGGAATGATAAATTTCAATAAAATAAAATTTATTTATAGGTATTTTGTTTTTTATTATGGAAGTAGAGTTTTCCAGAATGTTTCTATTACTTTCTTTGATATCCTAATGTTAAAAGTTAAAAGTAAAATCGACAATAAACAATAATATTTAAATTAATATTTTTTCATAAGTTTAAGATATCCTTATGATATCGCATAGGTAATATTATGGCAATAAGAATACATATTTTTTTCAAACTTCAAAATATTTTAAAATTACGAAAAAATTAAATTTTTTTTAAATAAATGTTAATACATTTATAAATACGCTATAAACCAAGATTGCATCATTACAGTGTTTAGTTATGCTTGAAAAAATATAAGTTTATCTTTATTTGAACAATAAGAAAATGATAATCATGATATTAAAAGAAACTTCCTGTGGACAAACTTGAAAAACCTTAATTTTGCAAATTTATATTGATATATTTTCTGCTTTGTAATTTTTTGTTGCTAACACTAATAAATGTGTCTTCAAATTGCCAATTTTTTAATTTCTTATATTTTTTCTTAAAGATAATAGGGGCATATCTGCTATATATCTTCCAGACGAGTATCTGAAGATATCTTATTATTTTCACCATGCTAATGTCTCTTTTTTGCTTGGAAGTATTCTGGTCCTGGTCGCACAATCTCTCCCGAAGGAGGTATCTTCAGCAATACGAATATGATTGTTGCCGCAATAAATATACGAATTCGTATCACTTTCGTATCTTCTTGCTTGTTATATAAGAAATTCCATGTGTATATTCTTAAAGTGTTGTTATAATGTTTTAACTACTTTGCAATTGATAAAATATGGTTTATTTATTAAAAAACCAACGCTTTAGGAGGTAAAACATATATTTATGTAGTTTTATAAAATTTTACAACAAATTACGTACAATATAGTCAAAAACCGCCATTCGGAATGTCTTACAACAGAGAATCTGTTGTTCTTCTACTTTCTATTTTTCATTTCCTTCGCCAATTTCACGTGAAAAATTTCCCCAATTGAACATTTTTTTAAAAAATTTTGTGAACTATAAGCAAATGTTCAACTGTTGCATGAAAATATCTCGATAGCAATTTCCGCTTAGGGGGAAAAGGCAATTTTATTGTTTAAAAAATTCATCTTAATTTTAACATGAAGAGAAATCTAAAAATAAATTTAGAGCAAAAAAATAATTATTTGTATTAAAAATAACTTACTAGTTTCCATATCCAACTCTATATAATGATGATGTTTAATGTCCACATCTAAGGTATCTCCATCAGATTCTGTACCAGAGTCATTTCATTCGTCCTAAAACGTACATAGAACCAAAACAAAATACACACATATGTAAATACAATAAATGTAAAAAATTTTATCATACTAATTTAAAAATTGTATGTGACTATGTATGTGCGCCCTAGAGGTGGACATAAAATATCGATTTTGTTTATATGGATCTTATTTTGTTCATTAGTGTTCAAAACTAACAGGTATTAAATTTTAGTTCAATCGGATAACGAGAACCCGTGCCGGAAATCGATTGAAAAGTTAAAAATTTGGTAAATAATAGGACAAATTACAAAAATTGTGTCATTAACATAATCTTTTCTTAATAATTATACCAAGTGTCATCATCCGCAGAAAGTTATATATATAATGAGGTATTAAATATTCATGTCAAATGACTAACTAACTAACTAACTACAGGATCAGGAACTAAATAACTACAGGATCAGAAAATGGAGATTAGTATACTTTAAGGTGGGTGTAGGACCAATGGTGTTACAAACATCAGAGTTTGCCTTGGTCAACTTTTTTGTATTTACTAACGATTGCAAATCTTGAGGGACGATATTCAACAGATCTATCTAAAATAATACAAGTTTTCAGAAGAACAAAGCTGTTTATTCGCTAGTTCGTGAAAATTTTTAAAATTTTCCTTCTACAATATGTTTGTACGACCATATCTAAAACTCTTATATAAAAAGAATTAAAAACTTTGCATTATTTGCAAAATTATTCACAAATTTATATCAAATAGAGCTTTTTTTGTAAAAAATTTTCATAGAACCAACAGACATAGACGATATAGAGAAAACATTTTTAAATTTCCTCGAAATGGGTCTCAAAAAAACCTTATGCCCGACCAATTTTCTTCAAATTCACAGCGTATCCCTGTATGTCTGGAATATACTTTTTATTTTGAAATTCCAGATTATGATTATGTTAATGGCAGACAGAATAGTATTAGGGGGCGTGGCACGAAGAACCTTAATATTCATCTGAACATTTTGGAGGAAAAAAGCGGACTTTCATCTGAAGGGGCTGGAAGCACCCATATGAATTAAATAGAAAAATTCGTATATCTGAGAAACTATTAGAGCTACAATCTTCAAATTTTACTTGAAGAATCTTGACATTCATCTGAACATTTAGAGTATGTATAACGGGCGTACTTTTAATGGGGAACTTGGCACCTCTCAAATGAATTAAATATAAAATTTCGTTTATCTGGGAAACTAATAGAACTTGATTCTTAAAATTTTGCACAAATTACTTTAATATTCATCTGAACATTTTTGAGGAAAAAATACGGACTTTCATCTGGGGAGCTTGAAGCCTCCACATGAATCAAATATAAAAATTCGTATATCGTATATTTTCAAATTTTCCATGAAGAACTTTGACATTCATGTGAACATTTAGAGCATAACGGGCGGACTTTCAATGGGTGGCTTGGCACAACATATATGAATTAAATACAAAATTTCATAGATAGATAGAAATTGGCAATAGATAGAAACTGACGAACTTGCAATAATTTGCTTGACGTCTCTCATGTCTAACATATTATAAATCTGGAAAACTATTGTAGTTAGAATCTTCAAAATCGTTAAGTGGGTTGTTTATTTATACATATTGCTTTTAGGGTAGCAAAGCACACTGGGTATAGTTAGTTTATATTAATAATTATATGTATATCTTTTAAAAGTAATTATCAATCCGCAAAATTACTTTAAGTGGTTGATCATATACATACGTAAATTTCAAAATTAACTAAACAAATGTATACATATTTTATAAATATTTTTTGGTATGTATAAGCTATATGTACTTATTTGTATCAACCTTTTCCTTAATGTAAAAGTTGCAGTTTTATAGGTAGAATTTAGTAAATGTTGCTGATGTTGTTGTTGATTTAATTTTTGCAACGAAGTAAACTATTGTTGTGTTGGTTTTCTTTCTGTTGGTGGTGATATATCGAACAGATTTTACATTAATTTTTCAAAAATTTCAAACCGAAACTTTGCGTTTTTATTTATTGACTAGTTTAAGTTAATCTACGCTTTGGTATTTCTATTAATATGTATCACATACACACTAATGTATATATATGTACATAAGTATATACGTATGTTCTAAAGCCAGACACTTCTTTATGTCTGTAATATTTTCTGTGTCCGTCCGTCTGTCGTGTCAACTAGTATGATTGTATTCATGTTTTTTATTACTCAGTTGTATTAATGTATGTATCATCCAAATACGTATGAATGTATTTGTAGAAATACATACATTTACTTTAAAAAAAATTTTCAGTCAATCCAAGACGAGAAAATTTGCGGAAAGTAAAAATTTTTGCAGCCGGAGTAATAAGTAGCAGCGATGCAATAACCGAGCCAAAATAGTAGTAGATGAAACGACTACGACGATAACTCGCTCATACGTTTAAAAACTTGAACATCCTCACAGGGATGATTATTATCACTACTAATACGTATGTATTATATTTGTAGGAGAAGTGAAACTCAACGACATAAAAACAACCAAAACATAATATGCAGGAAGAAGTCAGGAGCGCGCGGAGCTGCATGCAGTTACGAAGCTAGTCAAATAGGTGTTAGGAAGCCTGCAATAATATCGCATACATTTAAACATAGTGTAAAAATCTGTGGAACATCCAACAGCTACCAAAAACCGGGGCGGCTTTACGATAACAAAAACGAATATCAAACACTACTACTTCGTTTTTATCGTAGTTTTTTTTACATACATAATCACGAGTACATACATATGTATATGTATATTATTTCTTCTTCTATTGTATATACATATGTACATACATACATATATAATTTTTCCTTGTTGTTGTAGCCCCGTCCTCTGAGTGCAGCCTCAGATCACCTTTACCGTAAGATACAGTACTGAATTATCGATTTTCTTGCTTGGCAGTCAAATTGTACGTAAAAGATAATACAATAGACGCACATAGAAAGGAAGGAACGAATAAGTACAACTGTTAGACATTTTTCGCAAAAAATAACAACATTAAAAATTTTAATATAATTTAATTTTATTTGTTCATTTACAAAACTATTTCTTTAATTAATTTAAAGATTCAATGTTTAAATTTATATTTTCACTTTTCCGATTTTAGTTTACATACACACACATTTTCTTAAAGCTTTCTTTGTAAAAATTCATTTTATTCCATCTAAAGATTTTTCAATTTACAAATTTTCATGAAAAACACACTAAAAAATACTACAAATAATTCGGCTGTCACCGGCAAACGTTACACACAAACTAATGGCGCTCTCTATAAAGTATCCTTTGCGAACGACTATCTCTATACATTTGTTGATGAAAACAACAACAATAAAAGTTCTAGCAGCATAGAGTCGAATCGTACTCTTTTTTAAAAGTTACGATGACGATGAAACAGTAACAGAGACTGAGTATTGATAAAAATATGTGTATGTATACATACGTATAATGAGCGCTATTTTAACCCATTATCCGATTTCCATTAAATATAAAATACAACTGATTCGATGCACCAAACAGCATTATTTCAAAAATATTAAATTTTGTGTTTACGATAACAAGATGCGAAAAACATACTATCGTAAAAGTTGTAATTAAATTATCATAAAACTATTAGTTTTTAAGATAATTTAATTAATTTCATGAATGAATCGTAATACAGTTACTGTCAAAATATTAGCACCACTGTGCAACTTGACTTTAATAAATGATAAAATGATAGCACCAAAATCTCTATTATCTACAGAAATTCAGGTGGTGCATAACCAGCGTTGCCACATTGTGAACTCAAACATATGAATTTATGAAAATTTCCAGAAAATAACCAGCGTTGCCACTTTGCTTGGTAGGTTTAAATTTTGGTCAAATTTGGTAGGATGAGATAATTGTGAACTCAAACAAATGAATTTAGGAAAATTTCTGATCTTGCCATAGCAAAATAAAAAGAATTTTAGTAAATACATCAATCTTAAGTTTATCCTTGTTAATTGTAAGTCCAAATTCTTCACAGAGCAATAAATCTATATAAACCTTTGTTTCACAATTCTGTGGCAATAAGGAAAAATCACATATCTCAAATTATGCATAAAACATGTTTTCGCATTTTTGAAATCTTCATTCTCAACTCTATAATGTGTAAATTTTTTATAAAGATCGGGTCAGAACTATTGATTTACTATAGTTTTGTATTGAAAATTAAAACTTTAAACGTTTTCCTGAAAATACAAAAAATGTACTTTGGCCTTTTTACCACATATTAAGTTTCTATGTTTTTTAACATATCTGTTCAACATTCATGATTTTAACGTGGGTTTAAACAAAAAAAAATAAGGGTACATATATTGATTTTGTAATTCCGTTTGTAAGGTAGTAGACTAACAAAAGTATATACATATGTATCTTTTCTGGGTTTCAATTAGATTCTAAGACGATCATCCGTCTGTTCGTTGAAACAGTTTTATATGAATCGAAATCTTTATGGAATTTATAGGAATCATAATTGACCCTACTACCGCCATACAGTTTTTTCCATAAAGTCAGCTTCCAAAATTCAACTCCTGCGCCAGTCGTTGATCGAATCTGCGTTTATGATTTAACAACATCGTGTATTATTTATTTATTTTTGTTAATTTTATAACGTCGTGTATTTTTTATATTTTTGTTGTCGATTTTAAACTATACGTTAAAATTAACTGAGAAAATGGTACTATTATTCTATTATACAGTACATATTTTAAAAACTGTATAAATCGCTTTCAAAAAACCAAAAAAAATAAAAGAACACCCGTTGACTTTGTGCAAACTTGCCTTTACAAAACAAATACCCTTCCTTTATCGACCTTAAAGTGCAATGTAAATGCAATTGGTGTGGGTTATACAAATTTACTCACATTCCCAAATACGATTACAAACATTTCTCATTGACCAGTTTTCTACGCAGACTCCCTAAAAGCCAACAACATACAATTGAGCGAAAAAGCGCC